TTTTTGAAAATTTTCCTGGGGGGCATGCCCCCAGACCCCCCTAGCGGCGCGCGCGACTGCGTCGCACGCGGATCTACCACTTTTCATTCAAAATATGTTGGCATGTATGCATTATTATTATATATTATTGTCCAGAGACAGTGATGGCAGGATATTTAATTATTAGTGTGAAATGATGTAATGTCACCAGGAGTACATGAATCCAATAATTTTAGTTGTGATGGTTTAAGTTGTACATTATAGTGCTCGTTAGATGGCGCTGCAAGGTATGACATGCACTGGTTGTTACAAAATTAGGATTTTAACTGGTAAAAACGTAAAATTTATAAAAAGTGACTTTTAATAATAAGTTTCTTTAATTCCAAACACTTATAAATCTAGTTATAATAAAAAGTAAACTATCATTAACTGTAAAATTCAGTCGATTGCGCATTTTACGATCTTATTCCTCCCTATTGTGCGTAACTTCCGAAATGTTTAAACATGGCCGTTGTTGTTATCGTGCAAAACTAGAAACTAAAAATAAAATCAATAACAATGTGTTCTTGATTTTTCTAATCATTAGCGTCTAAATAAGCGTATCTGATTAGATAAAGTAAGTATATTAGTAGTGTCTACAAGATCTGTATATGTCCTTCTACATGCCCTAACAGTAAATATGACATTGACAGAATTAAGCCCTTGTTTACATGGAATTATTCAATTAAAAAGGTAGATTATAGATACAATAATGTAACCCAAACCCAGGATAGGGTTACAGCGCGAGTCTAGGGAGAGAGAGCGCGAGTCTAGGGAGAGAGAGCGCGAGAGATTTTAGTCTCAACTAGCGCCTCCCGTTGGCATAATCATCAGTATGTTGATGGTGGCCAATATAGCGTAGAAGTAGAAGTAGAAGAGATAGAAAGAGAGAAAGAGCGAGCGAGAGAGAGGGGAAGAAAGAGGAGAGAGAGCGCGAGGGAGAGAAAGAGGAGAGAGAGAGAGAAAGAGGCCCTATGGTTTTCTGTGGAGGAACCCCTATTGTGAATCACTCAGGGCGGTTTGCTGGTGCGTTTTCAGAGACTAGAACTTCCAAACTGGGTTTATTCTAAACATAAACCTTTCTCCGCTATCCTGGATCTTACTATGTATCACAATACTCTGTATTAAACTAATATAACCTGTTACAAAAATTCGAAGTGACGAGCTGCGGATATATTGAGCGCCATTTCTGTTGACTTGTGACGTACTTCGGTTTGTAGAGCGGATTCACCGACCAATCGGAGGGCGCTGCGTTTGCCGATTGCTATGCGCATTGGGAATGCGTACGTCACAGGTCAACAGAAATGGCGCTCAATATATCCGCCGCTCGTCACTTCGAATTTTTGTAACAGGTTATATTAGTTTAATACAGAGTATTGTGATACGTAGTAAGTTCCAGGATAGCGGAAAAAGGTTTGTGTTTAGAATAAACCCAGTTTGGAAGTTCTAGTGTCTGAAAACGCACCAGCAAACCGCCCTGAGTGATTCACTCAGGGGTTCCTCCACAGAAAATCATAGACTCGCGTTGTATCCCTATCCTGGGTTTGGGTTACATTATTGTATCTATTAAAAAGGCATCTCTTTCTAAATCATTTCCATAATCGTAGTTTAAGTTAAGCCGATACTATTACATCAAGCGCGGTCGCAGTGCCACAGAAAATGTTGTGTGCATGTCAGAGCATGAGCACTCGGTTGAGACACAAAAAACCACCAATAACTGACAAGCAAACATTTACTTAAAGGAACAGTAGCCTCTAGGTTCTAGGGTTATTTTCAGCTAATTTAGGTTATAATTGCGCTACATAAAAAGTTTCATGGTTCAATCACCATTAGAAATTTTTTTTTTTAATGTTTTAAAACTAACGACTACAGTTTGATTACAACGACGGTGGCGCCACTCAAAGCGCACGATCTGAGAAGTTGCGCAAAACCACTTTCCAGCCAAGGGCTACAGACCGAGGGTATTTCTTATTTATTCATTTAAAAGCAAAAGGATTGTAATATCTTATAAACGACATATAGTTTCAGTTATAATATGGATAAATTTGCCCTAAAATGAATATCGTTCGGTTAAATAGCATTTAGGTATAAATATAATTGCACTTTTGTGATTAGCCCTCGGTCATTTACCTGCAAAATTAAAATGCAAATACGCAACTTTTTCAGGGTGGCAGCACGGTCGCGGGTGTCATGGCGCCGTTCAAATTTCGTAGCGTTGATGTGTAAATAATTAATTAAGTATCTGGTGACAAATACATGTGGGTATAGACGATTTGTTATACAGTAAGTACAGTTGTATGCAGTAAAATCCTAGAGGCTACTAACTTCAATAAGAGTTATCGCGAGCATTCTCATTTGAACAACGCTCTGCCGAACCACTGGCAGCAAGAACAAGTCGGCACCTGCAGCTACAGTACACACGCGGCCATTGACTATATCAGGAGTAGATAATAGGGAAGGAGTGTGACATCAATAAACAAGGGAAATTCGTCATTTACTAGCCTTATAATACCTACGAGTTACTATGCGTAACTCATCCAACTTGAGCTCAAATCGTACACAGTACATTCGCCTAGCATCGTGCGAAATCGTTTCCTCGTATACACCCGCAATCCGGAGATACAGACTAAAACATACGACACGATTAACCATTCTTTGGCCATCAATCCAAATCCACTGCCCGCCTCGTATTCAAACAAAAGGCAGCTACACTGGCCCGCGGTTGCTGTGCTTATCGGAATGTCGAATGTGGCGGTGTGGCTAGCGGGGAGATTGGACATCGACACAACACTCGACGAGCTAATCATGACCTATTTGCAGCTAGTATGCCCCCCCAACCGCAATCAGCAGCAGCTCTGCGGCTCAGCGTTAGCGTGTATAACCGACCGCACAATAGAACATCTGGAGTCTATCAATAAACAATAATATTGCTGTTAGACTCCTGCTCACGTGCAGTGGTTCGTGTTCACGTTGCTATGACTATATTGCTGTCACTGCTACAATAGCACTCGCCCGTTGCGTCTATGGTTTCGCCGATGTCCAATCTCCCCGCGAGCCACACCGCCACATTCGACATTCCGATGAGCAAGCACAGCAACCGCGCGCCAGTGTAGCTGCCTTTTGTTTGAATACGAGGCGGGCAGTGGATTTGGATTGATGGCCAAAGAATGGTTAATCGTGTCAGACGTTTTAGTCTGTATCTCCGGATTGCGGGTGTATACAAGGAAACGATTTCGCACGATGCTAGGCGAATGTACTGTGTACGATTTGAGCTCAAGTTGGATGAGTTACGCGTAGTAAATCGTAAGTATTATAAGGCTAGTGAATGACGAATTTCCCTTGTTTATTGATGTCACACTCCTTCCCTATTATCTACTCCTGACTATATATATAACAACATGGTGCCTAACTCGCCGCCGCACGGACCACAACTCACCGTTTTCAATCAGTTACAACTCTGGTGTTCCTGCAGGTGACGCCAATTTCCAACTATCGTTGGAATCGCAGAAGACTGCTGAACCAGCTACACCCGCCATTTTTGACAA